AATCCCTATATTACTTAAATATTCGCTTGCTCCTTGCGTCGCTCCTTCATGTAAGAAAGTTATTATTTCCTCGGAATGTTTAACTAGAAAAAGCTCGAAAGCCGAAAGGTGCTTGAAGAGGAAACCGCGCACCTTCTGCAGCCATAAATGTATTTCAGTTACGTGAGTCATGGAGGGCATTCATCCTTGAGTGTTTTAGCTGTAAAGAAGACTTGTAAACGTAACGTTTTACCGCTAGCACTTTCTTCGCTAGCCCCGTAGTCTAATTTCTTGCATAAAGTCTTAATCTGCGATTTTACCTTAAACAGCGAAACACTGTTTACAAGTTCAAAGTTTTTTTTCATGGCCTTCCTGGGGTTCTATTTCAACAATGTCTCCCGTACAACGACAAAACCTTTGACAGCCTTCTCAGCTGTCAAACGTTGAAGGCAATTGTCTTTGATGTGAGATACAACACGGTTCGTATTTTTTTTTTTTCTCTCTGATCTGCTCCCAGAGTGCGCAAAATAGTCAACCCGTTCTGAGGTGCACTTTTCTTTCTCTTGCTGTTCCGCCGTTTTCTGACAAGGCACAGCTTTTCCACAGGTTTGATCTTAAGCGCAATGCTGAAGTCGGGTCCCCTTTGCAAGATGCTAAAGGCTTCCGATGTTGTATGCGCTTTTTCGAGAAATCTGACACCTTTCAAAGAAAGGTTCCCTCTTGCATTCTTTAGCAGCGAAGCTCGAAGTGTTTCTCACATGAAGCATGTGACCTGAGTGGCGAGTCTCAGGTGCTCACCCTATTTCCTGCCAACTTTCCGTTCAGACGCGACAGACCGTGGGAAGAGCATCTGCAGGACGTCCCCGATGTCTGACAACTTGCTTAATCGAACGAACCGAAGCATCTTGTAAATTTTTGTCCCGTGGCTAGCTGAAGGCAAAACACCACCACCAAAACAGGTCCAGCACCTCGGATGTAGTCAAGCCGTGACAAACGACGTAGGACTAAAATCTTGCCTCGCGCATCCAGACGGTAGTAAGGTTGACGTCCAATTTGTCGTCGTTGGGGGAAACGTGGTTCAAAAAGAAGTCCAGAGGGGCCATGGAAAAACACTTTAAACTTGTAAAGAGAGTTCTGCCGACTAAAGTCAAATCGTACCCTAAGGCTTTCTGCAAATATTAAAATTATCAAGGTTATGAGAAAAAAGTGCTGGGTAAACAAAACTCAATTTAGAAATCTTCTTCACAGCTAAAACACACAAGAATGAATGCCCGTTCGAGGATATAGCAACCAAATCAGACTCATGGCAGCTGAAAGTGGGCGCTTTCCATAGCAAAAACCTTTAGACTTTGAAGCTGATGGACCCTTTCATAGTTTGAAATTCCAAAAAAATATTACATTTTTTACAGGGAGGAGCATAGGCGTAAACTACAGGGGGGCATCGGGGTTCGTGCCCCCCCTGGTGAAATCTGGCGGGACAGAGCCCTCCCCCCCCCCCCCCCCCCCTCCCGAGCCCGGGCCGTGATCCTTTCCGAAACGCTGCTTATGTGCCATGTAACGAGCTTCTAGTAGCGGCATGTAAACAAAATAACGCCCACATTGCCTTTATTGACAAAATACATGGGAAATTGAATCCCAGCGTGCTTTCGTTAGCTTCAATCTCCAAATCTGGCGAGAGGTGAACGCGCACCACCCCCCCCCCTCCCCCCTCCCCCCCGGGAGAACTCAGCTTGCCCCCCTCCCCCCAGGGAGAACTCAGCTTGCCCCCCCCCCCCCCCCCCACCCCCACGGGAAAATGGAAAGTCTACGTCGCTGGGGAGGAGCCATATGCAATGAGCAAACGGGTTCTCTATTGATGTAGAGAATTCATTATACTCAATTCTGTACTACGAACAACTGCTGGCATACTGGCATATCTTAAACTTCGCGTTGAAGAAAATGAAATTACATTCCGGCATTCTTGTGGCCTCACGGTAGAAGGTTCATTGGAGCTGTTGAATTGTTACCTCTGCCCCACTGCGGTCTCTTTCGAGGGAGGACTGTGTGTTCAAAAGCGTGGGATCTCCATAAGCTCCAGAGTAGCACCAGTTTTATGCGTAACAGTTTTTAGACACAATAACATTTTTTTGTGTGTGTGTGTTGGTGTCTAATTATGTGCAGTTCACTGACGAAGTGATGTCTGGACTGATTCTCCGGTCGAATTTGAAACCAAACTAAATGAATGGTATCGCTTTAGTGACACGAAATATGATCACAACCGAAATATTACGTCGAAGTGAAGCCGCGTACTCCACTAAAAGCGACTTTAAAGATGTGACCAGCTGCTCTTTAGCGGGCGGCAAGCGGATTAGCTTTTAGTCAGGGAACGCTGGCGCAGCACCCTTGTAAGGTCACGTCTTGGTGGAGCGGCGGTTGATTGGCTGAACTGCGTACCGCAGCATCCTTGTGACGCCACGTCGTGGCCGTACGGATGATGATCAGTGTTGAAATGCCTCTAGGGGACAATTTCGGTTTTGCCGTAGACGCCCGAAACCAAACTTCGAGCCGTGATATTTAGAAAACTACAACACTATCGAGAAAAAAAAAATTATACCTTCTAATTCAGGGACACTGCCTTAGCTGAAAATAATCGTAACCCCAAATTCAAACATATTGACCGGAGTTGCCTTTTAAGCTTTTAACGAGCTGTGCGTTTAAATTGAACTTTACACATAAAACGGAAAGCTCTGTACATTCCAGTTTCAGAATCTGGGGCTTCGTTTTTGAAACGTCCATGTCTGCTGGGCGTAAAAATCACGGTCCAAGAAAGGAATGTTACCGTTTGGCCCCGCTCACTCCAAGCCCCTAAAAAGGGGAAGAGGGGAATTGCCTCTACCTGCAGTGCCGTCTGGTTGAAAAAAAAAAAAATCATGCCATCATGGGATGAGCAGCAACTTTTATGAACAACTCAACAGACTAGAGGTCGCAGGCATCTGTCCCCAAGTTCTCTGTGAGATGTCAGAAACGCTGACAAAAAAAAATGACAAACCGTGATGAGCAGTTATATGTGCACCCATGAAGAAGGGCACGCCTGTGATCCTACCTTACATACACAGATTATCACACAACCTGGAAAAATTGGCTAATCGGTTCCATATACCGCTTGTCTTTTCTGCGCCGAATGAACGAACCAATTCCTGTGTAAGAGGGTCAACGGAAGCTCGGAAGAGTCGGCAGCAACAAAGGGAATATGCACAAAGCACCACGCAACTCAGTTTCGCGGATGTGCAGGACTCTGCCACTACAAGACAGTCTCCGTTTGGTAACTTGTCAGCAAACTGTGACCACTGTGAACGCAATCCAGATTTTGAAGAAACTAAAGTGGTGAGCAAATTCAAAATAAAAGTGGCGCGCGAAATTCATAAAGCCTTTCTTATCAAATTGCATGGCAAGGATATCTTTGTCAACGCACCTTCACTATCGATCTCTGATAAAGGGTTTTGGTATGCACATGGCGTATCCTTTTTATCTTTGCAGTTTTTAGCGCATTTGCTTTTTTTTTTTATTCACTGGTGCATTTAAAAAAAAAAGTAAGTTAAAAGTACGCCGCGTCCGGTTTGCTCTTGTTTGCTCTATTTTCTTTTATCTTTCGTTTGTGTTTTAGTTCCATAATGTACAACCAACTAGCCCGACGTCTTAGTATGCGGACGCAAAAGGAGACAAAGGGGACACACAAAAACACGTCAGACGCGGACAGCGTCCGTGTCAGCGCTGTCCGTGCCTGATGTGGTTTTGTGTGTCTCCTTTTGTCTCCTTTTGCGTAGGCATACCAAGATAATTAACCAACACGCTCTACTAATTCTATCTATAGCCCAACATGCCGTCTTAACCTATTGTTTCACCAAGGGTTTGAAATAATCGTGGCAATGTTACACAACCTCTTTCGAAAGTAACGTGCCCATTATTAGAAGGGCAGACACAATGGCGGAACTGACATCGGGGAACGTGCAAGTAATTCCACAAGATAGCGAACGTCAGAGCAGGGCGAACAACAAGAGCCGTCGAGTCAATCGCACAGCGTCGGAAGTGCAGCGTCGCTGCGCTAAACATTTTTTTTTGTGTGTGGGTGTGGGAGAGTTTTAGCCTTTTAATTTAACCAAACGCAGAAGTGTTCCGTGACTTAGCGGTTTTAGTCCACCATCGTGCAGAGAGAACTGACAACAGGGGCAATATTTCAAAAGGGGTTTAAGTATACACTACCATTTTGCATAGGCGGTCCACAAATCTTATCGCGCATATACGGAAAACCTTGAGTCTAGTTCATGGCCTCCGAGCACACGCGCGCGCGTTTCGGGTTCTCGGAGGTCATGTCCAGTTATAAGCAGTTCCAGCGCTGCCGGATGGATGGCGCCAGCGTGCCAGTTTGTTTATCCCGTCCCACGCGATTTCAGAATGGTTTATTATACACTCTCGCGTTTGGCTGCGATCGGCTGTTTTGTAATCGGGTACGACAAAATTCTAGGGACTCCAGACGGGACAACACGCTAACGCCATCTATGGTTTAGCGAAATTGGTGGATTAAGAAGTTGTTTCTGATTCGGCGATCCTAATCCAATAAAGGGCAGTCCGAAAGGCCCGTTTTCAAACTGGCAGAAAACTCCGACGTTTTGCAAATTTAAAGAAATCGCAAAGTAACTGTCACTTTTTCCATCAACGGCATACTACTTTTCATCTCAAGTAATCGAGTAGTGTAATTGAATACCTCTTAAGCAAGGGTATTCGTAACTGTGACTGATTACTTTTTTACGAGCAACGTCTACAAGACTGGTTGCTACCAACTCTCTGTTTCATAGAAGTTATTTCCGGAGAAGACTAATTAGGAAATGGTGAAATTCAATTCCCAAATTCGAGGAAAACCATGTTTAACCCGATATTCAAGGAACGTGCTCGGGGTGTAAATAACGAGAAATATCTGGTTTACACCGAAAACAATGAGCAGTGCCAATGCGACTTTTAAACTTCCAAAAAGAAAGCGGGCTTACCTCGACCTTGAAACGCTCCCTTTACTTCTCGAATCCTGCGCGTCGCCTTTCCAATGTGGAAACGAATATCGATTCTTTAGACGAAGAATTTTCCTCTGTTACAAGACGACGAGCACGACGGAGACGGATCTGCTGCGGCCGTGTTTCTTCGTCTGGAGATACCGCTTGGCGTTATCAATGCGCCGGTTGTGGAATGGGCGTGTTTGCCACTGGCCGTGCCCTTTTCACTGGTAGAGCGGCTGGCTGGCAGGCCGAACCTCTGTTTGCGTTATCAACGTTGTATCTCTTCATTCCTCGCGCAGATGCCGGAAGCATCTCCTCGCATAACTCTACTCTTAAAAGATATTTACGTCTCGCCAAGAAACAAGCGAAGATGTGGGTAGCTCCTCGCTGTTCAAAGTCGTTTATCAAATAAAGGGTGTCTGGAGTGGTTCTTAGCTCTGTGAAACGAGAAGGAAAAATCGGCGCCTGCACATAAATGAGCTCAAACTTTTCCCGAATGTCCGCTTGACTGGTGCATTTAACGCGGTAAAAGCTTACAACGTAGCCTCCTTTTTGAAAAAAAAAATAATTGAGCAATAAAATTGTTAAGGTCAACGGTGAATCGTGCTCGCAGACGATCGAGTTAGCGGTGCTTGTATCTTGTGGCGCCATCTTTCGATGGGCGCAGCGAGCAGAAGACGCACCACTAAGATCGATGTTGGATACCCTATATACACACTTTTTTGTTTGCATTTAATAAAGCTTCTATACTCACTTGATAAGTAAATCATTTATTTTTCAAGTATTGTTGTGATTGTCACGTTACATTTTTGTTGCAGTAGTAGGTAATGTAGCAATGTATTTTTTTTTAATAATTGCTTAGATTGTTGTTACTTTTATAAAAAAAATAGTATATTACGTTTAGTAACGGACTAAACACACACAGTTGAGCAGCATAAAAGGGTACCAAGATATAAAATATAAAACGTCGTGCAAGGAAGGACATACAACAAAAAAGAAACATATGTTTGAGCGAACGCCATTCATTGATACATTATTTTAACCACAAAACCATTCCCCCCCCCCCCCCCCCCAAAAAAAAAAAAAAAAAACGAGTATTACGTGAATGGGAAAAAAAGCTAGAAAAGATTAGGAGTGCACTCGAGACAGTTTCTATTCCTTTCACTTTGGTTTTATATTTCTCTTTCTAAGACGGAACAATGCACTTTAGAATTGTCAGTGTGCGGAGATATGATTTCTATGGCATCTTGCTGGCGTTCATTCTCGGCAATTACCTAATAGATAGACTTATTCCCGTTGTTGTTTTTTATACAGAAGGTGGGAAAAACATGATGGCTTCTCAAAGGGCAATCTTCGATTTCGCTTTTTTTTTCTTCAGGAATTTGATTTATTTAGATATCTCACATTTTTCGATCCCTTATTCACAAAATTACCTGAAAACAACCAAGTCACAAATATATCTTCTGATTTCGTGAAGATAAAGATTATTACCTGAAAATAAATGTTAACATACCTTGTTTCAATGCATTTCTGTTGGGATATGAATTGAGAAAGTTTGCACTCCGGTCATAGCTCGAAACCTTGCCTCTCTCACCAATTTTTCCACCTATTCAGTGGGGACGGCGGAGAAAAGCTCACCGGAGTAAAGCTCACCGGAGAAAAGCTCACCGCAAAACCGGCAGATACGGAGAAAATCTCACCGGCCTTTGAGCGGATGCGGAGAAAAGCTCACCGATTTTTTTTAATTCTTCTTAAATTCTTTGCGGTGTTCTGGCCGATGCACTTTGTACAGGGACGCAGGACCATCTTCGAGCCCAGCATTCTCATGGCCAGCGCGCTGAAATCTGCAAGCGTCACATACTGACGTCCCACGTGCCGTGCTAAACTGCAAGCGCCACCGTGGCTCCTTCAATCAAGAGCCGACCGCTCAGCGTCGCCACGCCTGATTCCGCAGCTCCGCTGTCCATAAAACCAGCTTCCCAAGTTCCACCTTCTGTAGTCGGCGGCGAATTTTTGCGGTGTTCTGACCGATGCACTTTGTACAGGTGAGACGAAGACTCCCTTTGCCTTTCTTTTGGAAACTGTTTGCCGCCGACTGCACCTCGTGTTTTCCTGCTGTTGTGCCTTAGGCTGTATGAACATTTCATTTAGTTGCTTTATCTTCTTTTATTGTCACTATGGAGTGCATTAAATGTGTGCTCTCACTCCCGGTCGACGGGAGGTATTTGACTTGTACGGCCTGCAGGAGTGGGTATCATCTCGGTAAACCCTGCTCTGGTGTCGCGGAGGGTACATTCTCGGGAATGGGCGCTGCTAGAAGGGAGGGGTGGAGGTGCCCCACATGTCGCACGAACGAACTCCGTTCGGGTGGTGGGGCTGGTGGTGGCGCAACTCAGGATAGCTTTAATACCTCCGTCGGTAATCTCCTGGACCAACCAAACATCTCCTCCGTGGCTAGCCAGCTGGCGTCAATAAACCTGGCACTTCAGCAGCTTCTTTCTTTGAAGGTTAGTGTCGAAACTCTTTTGCCTCTTCCGGCAAAGGTTGACCAGCTCCTATCTCTTAAGCCTGCAGTGGATGAGTTACGTAACACTGTTGGAGAGCTTCAATCAACAGTTGATTCATATAGTATGAAATATAAATCCGTACTAACTCTCGTAAAGACTAATGAAGAGTCAGTGAAAAATCTTCAAACGGAAGTCCACGAAGTCGAGGTTGCAATGACCGAACAGTCACGAGAAATTACACGGCTCAAAGAAGAACTGACTGATGCACAACAATACAGCCGCCGCTGTAACATGGAAATACAAGGTCTTTCTCATGAGTCGGGGGAAGACCTGGTTAAAGTCATGGAAGATCTTTTTCATAAGTTCTCCATCCAAAATTTTCAATCCTCTGAAGTCGTCGCAATTCACCGTCTTCCAAGAACGCGGCTCCTCTGGTTTTGGTCAATTTCGCATCTGTTACTGTAAAGGAGACTTGGATGGGGGCACGTGGCGGTTTGCATTGGCTGTCCCAGTCAGATGAACCTAAGGTGTTCTTTAATGACCACCTCACGCAAGCCAACAAAAATCTCTTCTCAATGGCAGGAACGAAGGGCAGGGAAAGGGCCTACAAGTTCGTGGGGCTAAAGAACGCGAAAATCTACGCAAGGAAAAGTGAACGTGTGCCCGCGGTGCGCATAAGCACAGTTGGATACCTTGAGAAGATTATTTAAGTTATGACGGCTTGTTTTTCGGTTCCAGGCTGTAGTTCTTTTCTTTGCGTTTGGGACCTACTTCGGAAAACTGTCTAATACTTATTCATGCTAATATTATGAGCCTGCGTAAGCACTGGGAAGAGTTTCGCGTTTACATTACTACTCTTCAGCCTCCAGTAGACGTGTTCGTCCTTACTGAGATCAGTATATCATCTCTACAATGTGCTGAATTCACTTTGAACGGCTATAAAGAACTTGTTTACACACGTGATACTGGTAGAGGCGGAGGCATTGCAATTTATGCTAAAGATTTATGGCTACTTTCAAAGGTGAATGTACATTTCGCTCATGAGGAATTGCTCGCGGTTAATGTTTCCCGGCCTGGATTTTCACTGTTTTTTTATTAGCAGGTTCTAGACCCCCATCCGAGAACGCACCACTTTTTCTTGCGGAGCTAGAGCAGGTGCTCAAGCAGTTTCGTTCAATGGGCCAATTTTGCCTAGTTGGAGACTTTAATATCGACACTCTGAAGCCTGTAAAATTCATAGTGTGTGATTATTTAAATCTGCTGTCGGAATATAGGGTCGAAAGCTCTATTTCCCTTCCAACAAGAGAGGAGCTGTTGTCTGGAAAATTGGTGGTGTCATTTATTGACCATATTAACGTTCGTGCACCCAATATCACAGTCAGATCCGCCGTCATTGCGCAGAAGTTATCCGACCACTACCTAATAGGATGCCGATTACGTAAACAGGTCTCTAGGTCCGAGGGTAACAGGCCCGAAAGTTCGTACGTTTTTATCACTGATACGGTGAAGTTTGATGCGTTAGTGGCCGCCTTTGCCTGGGATACATTTCTGAGGTCGGTGGAACCAGCTAACCTGTACACTACTTTTGTCGAGGTTCTACAGTCTTTTTATCGTGACTCGAAGAAAAAGGTCAATTTCCAGAAATGATCCGATAAGCCCTGGCTCACAACTAATATTCTGACTGCAATCAAGGAAAAAGACGCTGCGTGGTTGCGCTCCCGTCGTGCTCCAAACAACTTGGAACTGAGGGCCGCTTTTTGTTGTGCCAGTAATAACGCTAACGCCATTATCAGATTCACCAAACGTCGTTATTTTCAAACAAAGTTCTTTGAATCAGGGTTGAATCCACGTGAAACGAGGGACTTGATAAACACTTTTAGAGGGTGTACAACAAAGAAGTCTATTGAAGAAAAGTTGCACAAACACTTTGAATCTAACTTACAATCAGCAATCAATGACCTCAACATTTTTTTCTGCTGCATCATCTGGTTCGTCTAGAGAATCTGCTTTATCATTCTTCCCGTCTAGTCATGATCATAGTGTGTCGGCATCTGCATTTCTGCCCCTTCTTGACGCAGTTTCTTTGCGTTCAAATTTATTTTCTTTAAAGCGTAATAAAGCTGCTGGTATTGATGGCATCCATGTTACCAACATTTGTCGCAATTTTGTTTACGTCCAGCACGTCCTACCTACCATGGTAAATGGGTTCCTGATTTCTGGCATTATCCCAGCTGATTTAAAAACTGCGCTTGTGAAACCAATTTTCAAAGGAGGATCACCCAACAAGCCGGAGTGCTATTGACCTATTTCTGTCCTGCCATGTGTGGGGGAGATCTTGGAGAAGCCTCTATATCTTGTCATGTCTAGTTTTGTTGGTAGCTCGCACGTACTATCGCCCAGCCAGTACGGCTTTGTATCCGGAAGGGGCACTCAACCTCTGCTCGAGGATTTCTATGATTTACTACACAATGCATTTGACCGTAACATATGTTCCTGTGCTATTTTTTTGGATGTCGCCAAAGCTTTTTACACCGTAAGCCACGAGCTCCTACTTCATAAACTATACAATTACGGCTTTCGTGGCCCCTTTTATGCTTTGCTTAAGAACTTCTTTTCTGGGCGCTTGCAACAATTATCTGTCGGAAATTTTAAGAGTCCCCGAGTAGGGTTGAAAGCGGGTGTCCCTCAGGGCTCTGTTTTATCGCCTTTGTTATTTAATCTCCACGTTAATGATATTGCAGCCAGGCTGTCCACTTGCAAAATGTTTCAGTATGCAGACGACACCCTAATAGTCTCCACTCATCTAGATAGTCATCAAGCTGTACAGTTTCTGCAACATGACGTGGAGCAAGTAATAGACTGGTTCTCTGAGAACCTATTTTCAATTAACACCTCCAAAACAAAACTAGTCTTCTTTAAAAACCCGTTGAAGCGTGTGAATCTAGACACACCAGTTATGTTACACGGGACCAATTGTGTTAACTGCATGTGTCCTCCATTGAATTGTGTTGACAGTGTCAGGTATTTGGGAATACATTTTGATTCAGACCTACCTTGGGCCACGCACTTCTCCTACCTTTGTGGCAGACTCCATAGCGTAAGTTGCTTACTTTATAATAAAAGTGTTCATGCCATTTGCAGTGAAAAAACCGATTGTTTATGCTCTTGCCTACAGCATTATTTGGTACGGCATAACAGTATTTGGTAATTGTGCGGAAGTGTGGCTGACTAAAATTGACCGCGTTCTGAAGAACTTGTTAAAAAGCGTCGGTTACCACCTGGATATTTCCGATGACACAGAAATTTTCGAAACCCTACAAATGCCAATCTTCCGCGACACTTCTGGGTTAGCGATTCTTTACAACCCCATGTATCCATAAGAGATTTGCGTAGAACGAATCGATTTGAGGTCCCCCTGTGTTTCACAAGGTACCGTAAACGTGAACGTTCTTACTATGTCCCTTTGATATTTAATAAACTTCCCGATTATTTCTTTGTTGAAGTTTTTAACAGGAGAAAGTTGAAGAAGTTATTGAACAATTTATCAGTCTGAGTCTGCGTTAATATCTGCTTGTTCTACTTTCTGTTTCCCTTGTACTTTTTTTTTTCCGCTGAAGTGTATCGGTTATCTGCGTTGATGCTATCGACCCTGTCGCTCGACTGCCGGGTCCTGCCCGTCAAGCCTCCACTGGCTTGGACAGACCCGGCTTTGTACCTTGCATATTTGCTTCTGTTGAATAAAATTATTAATATTAGTATTATTATTATTATTATTATTATCTGTGCGCGATGTTCTCGCCCAAGTCTCCACATAATTTTCACGGCGCACCAACGTATGAAGTTCCTCCTAATTTTATTTGTCGCTAATTCTGACGTTTCTGTGTTTTCGCCTAGTTATAATTTTCATGTTTTATCTCGTAATATGAGTGTGCTCATTGTTTTTAAGTGTTTTAATGTCCGGTGTGCCAGTACAAAGACCAACTTCTTGTTCGTGGACACCCAATAAAATGTATTTATGAATTGATTGATTTGATTATTTTTTATTATTATTGTTATTAATATTATTTTAATTAAATGCATGCGCTTCATGTACATCAATATACTATATCATAAAAATAATAATAATTATAGGTTTATTTTGCGAAGAATGCAATGTTTCGTATCGGGCCAGTCAAAGCCTAAGCAGACTTGGCTTGTATGATTGAAACCAAGTCGCCAGCGAACGCTACACGTTTAACACAATACAATTCGAAACAAAGAAGAAGTGTCATATAAATCTAGAAATTTCACCTCTGGCCTAGAGTGAATACGTCCCATATTGACGTCGCGGTGAACCATGGACGTGTGACGAAGGGGTGGCTGTAGCGACGTTTTGCGTTCACAGCACGGTCAGAGAGGCGTCCTTAGCACCGCACTTTGCCTTGTGTTCTTCGAAGAGCTCCGTCAAGGCTGTGATGTACTTTTCGTGCCAGAAGGAGACATCCTCCGCCGTTGGGTTTTCTATTTTGGGCACTCCAAGTGGTTTTCCCACTGTTAAAAAAAAGAAAAGCAAGCATTTGAACAATCTGCTACAATAGCAAAGAGAACATTTCGGTGAACAGAAAATCTTGTTTCATAGTTACTCGATGGCCATGGTGTTCCAGTTACCTTTTGCCAAGACTTTAAAGGGGCGATGCAACGATTTTTGTACTTAGCGCAAATACGGCTTACAACGCATCCCTGACGTTAATGACCTATGAAACACGCGTTCGTTTCTCACCCCACGCAATAAAAGTCCCAGAAAAAATTAAAGCTAATGAGCAGAGTTCACCCCCTCAACTCGCAGCCAGAACAAGCGGTCACGTAATCTGGAGCCGATTATGTGCCGCCAGTGGTGATCATAGCCACGCGCTAAGGTTGGAAAAGCACAGGACATGGGCTGGGTTCCAGACATTGTTATGACTCGGCTATTGTCGTCGTTGCAGCGATTGGACACGGGCCACTAACCGAATACTTTCCAAGCTAGTAATTATCACGAGCACAAGTCGAGTGCCCACGCAATGTTCGGGTCCAATCTATGAACCAGATTCAAATATCGTCATTGGGGTGTACTGCGATCCCCACGTTACGTCATCAAATTTTGCAAAGGAGAGATCGAATTAAAAGGATCGCTTTTGTCCTTGAAATTACACCGCAACAAAGGAGTTTCTTGGCCAGTGGCATTGCGTGCGAGTATCCTTGAGTCTCACTAGTGCCACTAGGCTCGTGTAAAGTGAAAAACATTCCAATTGAATATCGTTGCACCGCTCCTTTAATAACAACCTTTGCTAACTTTTGAAAACTCAATTTTTGCACAAAATATCTCATACAAGAGTTGTAGAGCGTGTTGAGAAACTTTCCATTATTTTGTTTTCATCAAGGTATCCTATGTCTATCAATTTCCTCAAACTTCTAAAAAGCGTGCTAGATATAAAAAAAACAAATACCCTCCAGCAAACTGCGACGTCAACGTGCAATTTCTTTTTATCTCGCGCTTTTTATTTTTTAAAGTAAAAAAAAAAGTTAGACAAACATAAGATACATTGATGGAAACGTCATAATTGGGTTTATCTGAACACATTCCACAGCTTCTATAATGGAGGGGTTGTGCAACAATTATTATTTAAAAATTTAGCGAATCAATTTGGGTTAATTAACCAAGTTGGCACATTAAGAAAAAAAACGTGATTCCAATATAAGGACTACGAACAATACCACGGGGGTTGGACAGCAACAACATGTTCCAAGTGTTGATATTTCATTTTTTTTTTTTTTTTTCACAAGTAGGCTGAAATGCCTTGTACAACTTAAGCGCCGTGAAAAGCCCTGTTTTTCTTGTACAAAACAAAAGCAAAGATTTATCTTTTTTTTCTGTGCGGAGGTAAGGGTACTGTGCTCGAACGCTTCTCCGCCTTGTTTTTTAGCGTTCTATTCTGCGTTTATATATCAAAAGGAGTCCAGAAGGGGCACCAAGCGACATCACAGGAGCCAGCATGCCCTGCTCTCCGATGTCCCGATCGTGGCGGTCCATCGTAAAAGTTCCGGCAAAAAGCACGAGCAAAAGCGACTGTTGCTGTCCTTATGGCGTCCTACTCCTGGCTGCTGATGCTTCCGTCGACTGTCAAGATGAAGAGCGACCTGAAGCAGGACACCATCAGGATGGCACTCCTATGGCGTCATCAGGAAGAACTCGAGCTTGACAAAGCCAAAATGCAGGAGCGCTGACGTCTCCATATGTCAAACCTTTCTTTACTTGCAGGTAAAGCGATTAATCCTAGTTTTCCGTTCCATGGAACCAATGCCCACGAACAAATTAGAAGCGATCTTGGCCTTCAAAGTCCTCTAATGCATGAAATGCATTATAGGGTGATTTCAGATAAGATCGACCAAAGGGTGGCTGGTCGACATTTTTAAATCAACTGATGTTTTTATATGACATTGTCTAGTGTCTGGTATAAACGAATCCACACTTAGTTTTGACCAGAAAAAAAATTTGTTGACAAGAAATATCGTAAGGCAGGGAGAGGTGGACAGTTGCAATAACGTGCACTGATGGAGGGGGCAAGTTTGAAAGTGAATAATTAAAACAATAAAATTAGGAGAATTTTAAAACTTTTTACAAACAAACTATGGGTACAACTTGCTTGTAATATAAAGTAATAATATTTATTAAAAATTTATTTAGTTTTCTAAAAATTGCCAAACATGCCTGCTCGAACGACAAATGGCAAACTTTGGAAATCTGTATCTCATGAAATAATTTAATCATTATTACATAACTTGCAGACATTATTTTACTAATATATGGCTATTATTGAAAAATAAATAAGGTATCTGAGTGACACAATAGTTACAATATATTTAGGCAAACATGGGAAAAAAATCAAACAAAGAAAAATTCCAATGCGAATAAAAAAAAAACACCACCTTCGATTTTTTTTAAATTTGGGTACCCTGTTATACTCTATTTCGGCATTCATTTCTATTAAAAACATGTTGCATCATTGCACTGTGAAAGAAGAAACAACTCCCCAAAGTAGGGTCCTTTTTCAAAGCCTACACTTAGCAGTGTCCTATACAAGAAGTGACTCTGAGTTCCAGTTTCATGAAACTTGCACAAATCTTTTATATACATTTATTCAGATGAGGTCATTGATAAAAAGAGGGATCGGTCACACAGTAAAAGGGAGGAGAAACTATATACAGCATTTTACATAAGCGTACAAAGTGGTATCATATTAGAGACTAATGATTTAAGAAAAGATGATGCAGTGTGAAGTTGTACCTTCCGGTATATTTTACATCTAGAGTAAAATAAATAACTTTACTTCCACACACAAAAACAAAGATATAATAGTAAGATATTTAGGTTGGCTGTGTATTTACGATTACAAACAATTTCAGGTGACGGATGCCATAGTGCCTAACTGGAGCAGCTTCGATGCTCTCGGTGTATGAATGAATCGTGGCAAGCCGATATATTTTATCCTGCTCGAGGATAACATTTTGAGATTTTTTTTATAGTGATGAGATAAAAATTATTAGTAACCACCAACAAAAACAGTAGGATAAATACCCGGTGAAGAAAAATGTGATAAATAAGATGTCCCTGCATTCAAAATGAGCAGTCCTTGGGAAATCAAATTCGGCACTTTACGCTAAGGTTTTCCTCGCTGTACCTATTTAATAAAGTTGCTTCCAAGCAGATCCGACTGTCCGTGCTACATATACGTCACAGGTCCCTTCTGTTGATGACTTGCTGAGCCGCCACGTGTGCCAAGACTGAATGCCAGGGAAGGCGCGCACCGTCAGCCACTCTTCTTTTTTTTGTTCACGATACCGAACAACCTCATTTTCGTCCAGATATACAAAATGCACGCCTTTCAGTTTCTTTGATAGAACGATCACCATTGTCCTGGCCGTCTGAATTGCGCTTACTGAACGTTCTCTCAGGTTGTTCAACGTGGCCTGGTGCTTCACGAGTCCGCCAACTCCGTCACATGCATTTTTCCCATGTCCAGATGCAGAAAATAACCACTGGGCTTGTGGGCAATCGTCCTTTGCAAATTGGTGCATCTGGTAGCGATTCTTGAAATGACTGGCGGCGCCGTCACTTACGTACGTCACGTACGAGTATACCGCAACGTTGTCTTCAACCCACTCCTTCACTTTTTCTAGAGCCAAGCAAGCGTGAGCGGCGTCGTGACACAGGTCCTCACTGATGATGGCAAAGCTGTTTGTAGATTTTCTTGTCGTCACTACACATGTAAATATCGAAACTTGTTTTTTTTTCAGTGATATGCTTGCACTTCGTCAGGAAGCACGATGGTCCAGTTTTCAGCAAAGTCAAAATGAAAGACAATGCTCCCGCGTTGCATGCACTGTTTTTCATCGTAGATCGCTTTACCTTGCGTTTGCCGGATATGGTTGTGAAGTACCCAACTTCCAACCGTCACTTGGATGACTTTTAGGAAAGTCTCAGGTTCCAAAGTTTTTTTCACAAGGTCGCCGGACTCCCATGTTGCAAGCACAATCTCTTCATCCTCCGGGATATCAAGTTCCTGGAGTGTAAGAAACTGGCCTTTTGGGCAGTGATCACAGTCTCCTTGAAGGCACAGTTCTGTTGCTGGGTCGCACAGAAATGCCGAGTTCATTTCACCAGTGTTGAATGTTGAGCCTGTAACGTTCTCTAGAGCGGCAATACAAAGATAATAATTGGCGCAGCGCACACAAACGCACACTTCCTGGTGTGGAATACATTGGACCCATCTAGGGCGCAACGAATAAAATTTCGTTAGCCCAACGCCGGAATCGGGATGCTTGTCTTTGTATATACGGAAGGCCTCTCGTATTGAGCGTGTCATGAAGCGCTTTGGCATGAACGTTTTCTCTCCGTTGAGCATGACAGAGATGACGTCCTTCTGGTTGGGACTTTGGCGCGAACATTGTAGCTCGTCTTTCGTGAAGTACTCTAGGGCAGCAGACAGGTTCTCAGGGCTCACCTTGCACCTCGTGTAAGGATCCGGCTCATACCACACGCCATGCTTTTCCTTGAGTTTTCGGGATTTACTGATGAGGTACATTGAGGCCTGTGGAATCATCTTTTGAAGCTCATTCTTCATCAGTGTTGACGGCAGGAGTGTAAGCAGTTGACAACGTTCCCGGAGAGAGGTGGCGGTTTCAAAGGCCTGCCGAAAGTTGTCCACCCACTCAGTGCATGTGGAGCATGTTGGTTCGGACGACCCCGATGGTGCGTCCCTGTCGTACGCAATACGTAGCCTTGAGCGTATATTCTTGACAGCAACCTGCTCCAGTTCTGTCTGCTTTCTCTTGACATAGGCAGGCCTGTCCCGACTTCTTACGACGCTTGGTTGTCTCAGCGGCGACACATCTGTAGGTAGTATGCTGCGATTTAGATCTTCAATTGCTTCTTCAGCTGGCACAAATATGTCAGGGCACTGCTCTGAGCTTCGCATCGAGATCTCCTTAGTAATGTGCATGAAGCAATGGTA